GCTCATACTCTGGAGTCTTTCTGAAGGGACCACTGTAAGAAACATTGAGATCAGTTACCATGTTGAGGAGATACAATACCCTTTTGCAAAAGGGTACATTTTTTCAAGGGTACCTATTTCTAAGGTCTAGTAGTAAGTCGGAGAGACCTTCCTGCCTCTCCCTGCATCCCTTTCTCCCTCTCTGCCTTCCTCTCCCTCCCTGCCTGCTTCCCTCCATCCCAAGATCCCGAAGCTTGTTGTCATCATCCTTCTGTCATATCTCAGAGGAAGGCAAGTGTAAAGTTGCTTTGTCATCTTATATGCCTCATGGATGAGGGTGGATATCAGTGCTGAAGTGACTTGGTATCTGATAGCTCTGGTTTGTGAGCAAAGGCCAATGGATCCAATAGAACTGTGTCTTCCCTGCCATATTCTTTCAAGCAAAGGGGCAAAATGCTTTATCAAATTGACATGATTGAATGGTTCAACCCAGGAGAAAGACTACTTGTATATACTGAGCTTATAAGACAGCAGTAAATCCAGGTCAGATATAGGCTGTTGATTCAATACCACAGTTATATCAAATAAGTTTCGCTGTATGCCTGGAAATTGTTCGTGGTTGTAGTGGTACTGAACAATGCGGAAGCAAAAGACGTGACCAAGACCTGAAAGAATTCCCCTCAAAGCTTTTATTTCACATTTACTATGCGTAAATCTCCATGGGTGTCCAATACTGCATTTTTTTCTTGTGCTAATCATGCTACTGAAGCTAAGAATGCACGTGGGTCAAAGCTATTGGACTACAATATTGAATTTATTGAAACATGATATATGTTTGTATTGAAATGTATGAATAATATGCATAGTATGTATTGAAAAATGTATATATGTAACATGCAATGTAGCAGGGCTTACTGGTGCAATATATGGGTATATTCCTTTATGATTCATCTAGCTGCAGATGTGTCCACTGTCTGCCTGTGAAAGCTGCCATTTTACTTTGCACTCTTTTCCATTGGGAAGTGTAGCCTGCAAAGAATATGGCAGGTTTTAAATGAAGCTTTCAGAGCTGTTCACAAACATGAATGAATTAAACCTCACAGCTCCTCTGTGCAATACAGGAGACATCCTCACCTCATTCTGTAAGGCAGCCACCTGTGGAAGGCAGCAGCTGTTTAATAGTGCATGGTTACATTTTACAACTGTTGGGTACAACAAGTGATGACAGAAAATATCCAAATTAAACTAGTGGGAATTAGGCCCAGAGAACATAATTGCTCAAATTAAAATGTTTGTAGTTTAAGTTAACGCCTATACAGTGTGCAGATTGCCACCAGTTCCATAATGAACTCTTCTGGTTAGGGTTAAAGCTGTGCAAATATTTTTCTCTTTGGCTTCTGAAACAAAACATTTGGAGATAGAAAAATTGGCTTGTGTTGAACCAAATTGTCTTTGTGTTGGTCGGTTTGCCTCTTGTTCAGTTGCTCTCCTTTTTCATATAGAAGGGGAAAAAGAAAAAGATGGAAAACATCATTTCACTTGACACAAATTATTTCATTTGGCCCAAAGCAAAACCTTTCAGAGCAGCAACTTGTGAGAAAAGGCCAGGGGAGGCCAGCTTTGTAGAGCTGCTCTTATTGCTGCAAATGTAAAAGGCAGTACCACCAGCAATACACCAGCTCCTAAGGGTATTCACCTTACTGTCAGTGGACTGAGCTGCCAATATCCTGCCTACCCAGAGAGCCCAAGTTCAGTGCTGCAAGCTTTGGGAGAGGTATAAGAATTAAAGTGCAAGGAAATATTGTTATGTCTGTAGGGGAGAAAGACAGAGTGACTTCCCTACAGAGCAAGGAAAGGAGTGTGCCATAGTTCAACCCTTTAGCCAGTCCTACCATTTTAAAGGAATATGTACTTGGGAGGAATATATACTTGGCTGAAATAAACTCCTTTCTCAATTGGCAACAAGAGTATTTGTCCAGCGTGGGCTGAAATTTCCACTTTTAATGGAACTTAATGGCTAATTTAGAAGGAAATCAAAGCAAAACAGACTCATTGCATCTCAGCATTGTTTTTGTCTGGTTTAACCTACCGTGTGGAACCATTTCAATAAGCGGTGTTACCAGCTGAGATTTCTTTTTCCCTTCTTTTTGGTTGCTGTCCAAAAGCTAGGCAAATGCATATCTAGTTTTATTTAAATTCACACTCTCATGGTTGGAAATTCACAGTATTGCTTTCTCCTCCAATGCCAGCCTTGCAGAGGCCTCCTTATGATGAAAGATCTTATTAGAGTTAGTGCTCTGTATCAAGGAGAGACAATCAATTCCTTTTGGAGATTTAATTTTAATCACGCGGCCTGGCTTCTGTTGCCCTGTGTTCCATAAAACTTTCACTGTTCCCTAGTCCTTGGTATTAGTTTCTGTGGATGGCAGGCTTCAGAGCTTGTCCTGGTAATCGGAAACAGGAGGTTACATTAGTCCCAGGTTGTGTTGCACACAGCAATTCTATTTGCAGAGCCTGCTTGCTGCACAGCTAACGGCTGCCTCAAACAGCGCACAAGTAATTTCCAAATGACATATCTCCTCTCCGTCTACAGCTATTTTAAACTTGGTTTGCCACGTGGTGTGGCCGTGACTCTGGAGGGAGTAATTTCCCCCAAACCCTCCCCTTCCAGAGCTGATGTGCTGTTGCCCTAAGCTCAATGCTGAATATTGAAGTCTTTCAACAGATGAACTTTAGGTCAATTATTATTCAAAGAATAGTTTTAGGAGCTCATAAAACTAAACTAGCAACCCACCATTTCCAGATAATTTCTACACAGAAAACAGAGACAACATTCATCCCATGAGCCACAGTGAAATTAGGTCTCAAAGTTCTTGTTCTCAGGGAGAAATTCAGAGCAGCCGCAGAGAGCATTATCACGCTGACTTCTGTGATTTTTTTTCCACTTCTTCTAGTAATCATCTCTATCCTTTAACCTGCAAACTCCAGGACTGCTAGAAGGTATATGAGTGTAACTGAGTATCCTGCATGTTCCCACTGTCACGTAGCCCGAGCCCATATCCCACTGGTACCGCCGTTTTTCAGCAGCCTGGCTGATTTATATCATGGTGGGATGGAGGGAATCAGACTCTTTTGTTTTGGCCATTCTCCAAATATGCCTTTTAGGAGCACTCCTCTTATTTGCATTCCTAACATTGACTTTAGTGTTGGGACTCAGTATATCCACTCTTGGGGCTTCTTTGGCTCTAGAGCCAGATGTGACTTTGGGGTTGACCTTTTCTTCGAACGAGATCCAACTAGTACTTCAGATCTAAATGGTAGCACATGGCATAGCTCTGAATTTCTAATTGTGGGCCCCCACCTACACCTTTATGCAAAGCTCAACATTATCTTCATTCTTTCCACTTGTCTACTTGCAATGTCCTTGCTCCTGCTAGAGGATAGATATACTGGGGCTGGGAGGCTGTCTCAGCTAATGGAAATAATTTGAATCTTTTCCTTTGGATTGTTCTCCTGTAAATCTCTATGTCTAGGGTTTAAATCTAGGACTGCTTTCTGCTTCATCTTTCACTTCTGCCTTTGATTCTCTTCCTCGTTGCTCAGTCCATTCTTGCTCCCTAATGCATAATGGTTCCATCAGGCTGGCAAAGGGTGGTTTCCATGTTGGTATTATTAACCTGACTATTGGACTGACCTAATTCTCAGGCAAAACCTATTGTTTTGTTTTCTGTAGTCTTTATCGATAAAGGCTGTTTTTATCTCATTCAAAAGAAGTAACACTGGGATTACTGGGAGCCTGTGAGGAAGCAGCCGGGCACTGACAAGAGTCTTAAGAATGCTTGAATGAAAATACTCACCTTGATCAGTGCCAAGCCTTGCTGATTGCTGAATTCATAGCTGCCACTCCGCTTCTGTGTGCACAGCACTGTAACAAATGAGTGGTAAAGTAAAAAATAAATAGGATTTAATAGCTGTCAAAAGAATCTCAGCTGAAGTGAGGTTTACCTGGTGAATGGCTATTCATTTATCGCAACCAAAAGAAGTAAAGGTCACAAGCAGGCACAGATCTGTGATAAGGCCGTGGGCAGACACACACAGATCCACCAGCATTTCTTGCTCAGATAGGCTTTTTTAGTTGTTACCAAAATGAAGTTTTGCATAATTTTTATTAGTACCTTGGCAATAACGGAATTTTTAGTTGAAAAAGCTGTCTGGGGGTGTTTGGGTTAGTCGGTGACTCCTAATTAATTTAGTTTAGTTTAGTTGGGATGTGTTACTTTATTGAAGTTGAGAGTGTATTTACGTAAGCATATCACCAGATAGATAATTTTTCATTCTAGGTTTTAGGAATATTGCATATGAAGCAGCTAGTATCTGCATGTGACACTAGCTTGTGGTACTAGCTTGTGCTACTGGAGATTTGGGAAATGCAGTTTAGATCCTGTATTGCCATAGTTGATAGCAGGGATGTAGATTTGGCTTTCCTATAACCAGACAGGCATGAGAACCACCTCTCTGTCCTGGAATTGGCTTGTCTTTTTAGTTTTCTTTGGAGTTACATCAATTTTGTGTGTTTGTCTAGGTGTGAAACAGTTCTGAAATTTTAGGGTTTTCTGCATATGTAAAAGAATATTGGTGTGTTTTGGTTTTTTTCACTGACTTTAACATTTCTTTATGACCAGTTTTTTGCTAAAAAGCTGAATCAATATGTGATAACTAAAGGGAAAGCTCAGGCAAAGTAGCACAGCAGCCCAGGTCAAGGGTATCCCAAGAGGTCTCAGAAAATTGGACAGGTTTAAGCTGTGGGCAACTGAAGCCCAAACCTCAGTGACATAATTATTTCTCCAAGGCTGAAGAAAAGCGAGCTCAGAGGGAACAGTAACACATTATGAAGTCGAGGCAGGGGGCCAGGCTGCGGCTGTGCCCCTGAGAAAGAGGAGGGGCATGCACAGACACATGGGCAGCACACACATACATGCACACACCTGCCTTTGATGTTTTTTTATATCTCTCTTTTGAAGGTCCTGAATCCTGGAGCAATATCCTTAGGTCCTTTTTCCTTTTTACTGAATTGAAAGTTTTCAAGGCTTGAATTCTAGAAACAAGGTATGAAAAAAAAGGATTATCAGATCTTTATTAAATCTCTGTTCTCCTATCTTTTAAAATTGCTTTTAATTTTATTTTTTTTCAGTAATGGTACATGGATCCTGTTGACAGGATACTGATACTGGATACAGTTAAAAAAAAAGAAACTCAATCTTGAAAAATAAAAAATAGAAACCACATTTTTCTTTTCCCTTTCTTTCATCCACTACTTCAGATAAAGTCTTTATAGCCCAACTGCATTTTGCAAAGAGATTGTCTGCTTTGCCACAGAATATCATATCTGTGTACTACTTAGAAAATCTGCACAAATGCTTAGGGCAGCAAATGAAGATGGAAAATGTGCACTGGGAACGGATGTAGCTGTGATGGGCCATTGCACACTCCCCATACCCATCACAGCTGTTATTCCACCAGTCTCTCTGCTTGGCAATGGAGAGGACTTTTAAGGAATAGTTTTAAGGAGTAACAATCCCTTTAGTCCATATGCCCCTCAAAATCTGCCTCTGTATCCATAAAATCCTGCACAGTTACCAGACTGCTCTGCAGTTCACTGATGAGCAGCCACTTGATTCTTTTTACCTTCTGCTTTTATCTCTGGAAGTCTTTGTTTCAAGCCCATTGTGTCAGTCAAAACATTTGATTTTGAATTTGTTGAGCACACTAGGATTTTCCCACCCTGCAGTTAGAGAAGGTGTAGAGTCTAAGACTTTAAAGATGTGTAAAGAACTGAAGATGTTTCTGGACACATTTAAGATAAGCAACTTCTACTGGGAGAATCACCTTCCTGTTGTGCCAGAATAATGATTATGCAGCACCTGCAATGTCTAGGATTTTCCAAAATGTCTCTCATTTCAGCAGTGAGGAAATATCACCTCTTACCTAGGAAATGCCCCCCCCTACTTGAGCTGTAATCTGAGAGACAAGCTGTGTCCTTCTATTCCTGGTGCCTCATTCTCCCGAACTGCAAACACCTGTGGGGCTTCCTCTTCAGGTCTTCTACTCATACTGGCCAAAGCACAAAAATGGTAAGGGTGTTGTACAAGGATGATCTGAAAGAAGGCTCCTTATTGTACATATATTTCCCTCAGTCTGGAGTGGCAAATTGTTCTACTTGTCCATCCTTGCACAAGCATGGTGGGTGCAAACCCACCAAGGTTGTGGGTTGGATCCCTATATGGGCCATTCACTTAAGAGTTGGACTCAGTGATCTGTTTGGGACCCTTCCAACTTAGAATATTCTGTGATTCTGTGATTAAGTCTCATTAACTTTTCCCTGCCAAGTTTGGCATCAGTCATACTTGATCCTTAGACTCATGTTAGAAGAGCTGCTTCACTTGTCACTTGTGGACTCAGTGCTTTACCTAAGGCAACACCAAATGATCTTCCAGCTCCCTCCATTCAGCTCTCATCCCCCTCCTGGCTCGTCTTTTATTGAGCCCAGACAGACTTCAGCCCTGTGCACATTCCTCCTTTGCTAAAGGATCTGCTCTGCCCCAACCAAGCCTAACATGAACTCCAGTAAATATAGTTATAAATATTTTAGGTTAGAGCTTTAGTACAGTTTGTTCAATATGCCAGAAATCTGCAGCAGACCCATAGCTCACTTTGTTCCCCACAGTAAGCCATTTTTAATCCTTAGCATTATAAATGATGTTCCCTCTCATGCCACTTTTTCACTGAAGCCTGGAAAATGTATTCACCCTCCCCCCACCTATTGAAAAGGTTTGTGTTGGAGAAGACCTAGATTTAAAACACTGAGGGCTGAAGAGATATGTCTAGATAAACATGGAGATTACCCTGTCAGAGCGGGGGTCTTGTACTGCACCAAGTTCACCCAGCCTGATGCTGTGCCAGGAACTGACTGCTGCCATCCACTCCATAGATGCTTCAACCGTAGCAGAGGAGAGGTTTTTGTTGGGTATAGTACCACCAGTTCACCTGATGGTACTATAGTTTACCTGGCAAAGCTGGGTTTAACAGAGAATTTCCTGGTTGCATTTGGCAACTTGTATTGTTCATCCAAGACACTCCATGAACTCTCTTCTCCACTGATTTTGAAACAGAAGCCAGAGGGACTTGAGTCAATCTAAACCAACCTAAGGCTTCCTAGAATAGCATTTTCTGTGAAATTATCTTTACTTCTTTGAAAAAAAAAGATAAAAGACTGATGGGGAAATATGACTTATTTAGTTGCAGCTAGGTTTCCAGTTTAGTCCAATTTCTGTGGCTTCAGAGACTATGAGGATGGATTTTCAACTTCGTAACAGAGGAAATCAGTTTATGGAAAGGAGTAAAAGAATAATAAAGGAGAAAATTTCGTTCTTCACAAAAGGGCTGTATTGTGCACAGACAGGAGTTTCTGGCTGGTTGTCTTCTAAATTGCTGTGCAAAATGATAAGGATAATTTTGTCTACATAAATGTGTGCTTTTTTTTATTTTAAATGACATCTTTGAAAAGTTATACTCAGATACGTGGGTTTAGAATAAGTCAGGGAAGCATAGACAGAGCACAGGCAGAGGCAGACAGCACAGAGAACAAGTGAGAGCACATGCAAAGACAGTGCAAAGGTCCTGATCTTTTTCTGTTGAACTTGGTGCCAAAGACAGATGTTGCAGAGAGACAGACAGACAGATAGATGCAGCCATATCAGAGACCTGCCAAGAGCTATGAGCTACAGCCCTAACAGAGAGGTAATGCAACACCAAATAAAAGATACTTTTGTATGCATTGTTGAAAATGAAATATATTTTTTCCTCCTCCTAACCCTTTTAAGCCTTTAATCTTAATCCTATTCATCATCATTAACTTCAGCAATTGGCCAAAATATTTAAATGAGGTGAAATGAAAAGATTTAAGAGTCTAGTGAAGTCTCATCAAACCACAAAAGAATAATCTCCAAAGATTAAGAAAGCTGCTATGACCCAACCTGTAAGGAATGAGAGGAGGAGGAGGGAGGGGGGCTTCTGAGATGAAAAGAAGTTACCAATTAGATCCTTTTACTAACAGTATTGAGTCTTTTTCCCCTTACAATAGCCAAGTAGAGAAAAAATTACAGAAGATGAATTAAGAGTTTAAATCCAGTAACAGGCAAAAAAAAAAGAAGAAAAAAAAGAGCAGGTAATATTTTAATAAGACTTAAATGAGTCTTTCAAAGGCACTGAAGAGCTCTTGGACCCACTTTCTCCCCATTTCTGGGTGTAAAATAGGCTTTTAACTATCACTGCGCTAGGAAGTGCTTTGATGTTTATTCCAGTGATTTTTGTGCCTGACGCCATTTGCTGTTGGTGGGTGTGTCTCCTATGTACATTCCCCTGAGGCACCCATTGTAACTTGGTTTCAGTTACGCTTTAGTTAATGGGCACTTAAAATAAAGTGGTACCCATTTCGCTTTAATTTCGAGAAAGGGGTAAAGGCCGCTCCCTTTCCATTTCCAGGTGAAAGGAGCAGCGCTGCAGCTCCATAACGAACCTCAAATGAATTGGAGAGCTGATAAATTTAACGATCTCATCAGCATACAAATATATGTGTCTGTGTGCCTGTGTGTTTCATACATGCACACGCAGTTTGTATCTAAAACTGGAACTTGAGGGAGATGGAGGACCTACAGATAACAGATTTCAACGGGGAAAGGGAGCAGATGAGTTTTTGCAGAGCTGTGTTTCAGCCCCTGGTTCTGCATTAGTGACTGCCCTGTGGCTGCCCTATGTCCCTGCTGAAGGTGGGAGGACAGCAGGGCATGAAGGGCACTATTCAGCCCATTTAGTGTAATCATAATACTCTGTACCCCCAAATCCTCCTGCTATTGCCACAGCACTCATTTCTCCATCCTCTGACTGGCCTATTTTATCCTAGTCCTGGTCATCAACTCCATTCGAGCAAACTGGAGCCTCCGGCTTCTCCTACCCATCTGTACAGCAGGCCACCGCAGGGTAAAATATCACCTCCGTCAGCACTGACATCCATCACTTTAATGAACAGCAAAAATCAATCCCTAATTGACAAAAACATTTTTAATCAAAGTATGAGGCATTTAGAGCACAGAAGCAGCCTTTCATCTTCTGTCAGTGTTTTCCTTTACAAGTGGGAGCACCATGGGTTTGTGGCTGGCCAAAGAGGCCAAGTGGTATCTCTGAAGGAAAACAGGGACAATGCTTTCAGGTGATGGTATTAGAAAAAATCTGCTTCTCTACTCTTAACTTGCCAAAGCTCAGTTTTGCTTTGTGGGTCAATAAAAAATATACAGCAATGGCAGGAAGAGAGTGGGAAGAGTGGGAAGTTTTAAATTAGCATAAGTTCTCTGAGACATCACTTAGGGCAAGATTTCTTTTCCCTTCTTTATATGTGTACCAAACTCCTAGGTATTTGGCGTTAATGGCCTGCTAATGGGTGCACTGGGCTACTGGAACACACTGTGCCTCCAAAACCTATCACAGTAAATAGGCAGGTGAAGAGAGTCAATTTACCAGCACTGGTTTGTGTCATAGTATTTAGAGATATCACCTGTGTATATCTGAGCTTTTCGTCAGGGCAGATCTGCTGGTGGTGAAGATGGAGGAGATAGTAGTAATATTGTAAGAGCAGTTGCTTATAAACTTGTAGATAGCTGTGAATTACACATGAGTAAGAGAAACTACCTGCCAGGAGCACTGAGGTACTCTTTTTCTTCTGATTAGGGAGTCCCTCAAAGATTTGTAAGGTTACTCTGGGCAGCTTGGTATCCTTGCCAAGGAGCCATAAAGGGCACAGGAAGGTTATTAGAGCACCATCTGGATACTTGGGCCTTTTTGCCATTTCTTGGAAGAAGGTATTATATTATTGCAAAGCCTCTTTATTGATGTCTGGCACAATTTGAGTACCTTGGCATCACTGTTGGCACTTGCAATGGAAAGGGTAAGAAGGAGCATATCGCTAGTGACGCTGTCGTAGCACCTTTGCCAGTGCTTGAGAGGGAAGCAGTCTGGAAGATGCAGCAATATTTGGCACTGTGAGGGCCCACTGGCAGCTTGCTTGTTAGAGGAGTAGTAGGGAGCTGCAGAAGCGCCTGATGCTGCTGGGGAAAGTTGGCACACCTTGCTGGATTTATGAAGGGAACGATGGGGAGGGAGGGTGCATCCTTGCCCATCACAGTTGCCAGTGTTTGCAAGGGAATCAGTCCAGGGGGCTGCAGTGGTACCC